AAGATTATACAAATATATRAATATAAATAAGAATACTAATAAGGAGTGTTTTATCAGTTAAAGGTCCATGCGCATGTGGTCAAATATGCTCATTCTATTGGCCTAATAACTCATCAATAATTATAMAAGAGTTGACGTGTAGTGGTCTTAAAAGATGAGTACCTCAGCATCGGGACAAAATCAATCGCACAACTGCAAAAAGATTTTCAAAATCGATTTTTATCTTGTCAACATCCTCCCATTGAAACAATATTGAAGATTTTGAAAATCTTTCACAACAATGAACATTTGCATACATCCACACAAGCACTTCAGCACTGCGGGCTGGGCCGCGTCCCCATTTATTAAAACTCAACAAAAAGATAATTGTTGATACTCAAATTCTTTTTTCGGAGACCACCGAAGCTGTAATAGCACGTATGTTAATCACATATTTTTCAAGTAATAATACATAACAATTTGGGAATTGCTAAAATACTTTCTCGGTATCGTTTTAGAGAAAAGAGATWAGCTAAGATTGATGCTCTATTTTTTAATAAATTCTTGCCTTATTTATTACAAAAAATGCAAGTTATCATAACAATATTCTAGGCTGRTGTGGTTTGGAAGTTCAAAATTGTTTGCACTCTATGAGTGTACTTCATATKCACGGTTTATCTTATAATCATAGTAAAGTTAACTATGGATTCCATATCCATTAAATGATTTCTTAGGAAACTAAGAAGAAAACTTTGTATGCAGTGTTTATKTTTCAACATAGATGACTTTTCAAGGCAGACTCGTSTGCAAAATCGCGTTCACAGTAGGAACATTTGTAAACACCATGAATTCCTTTAAGATGCTTTATCAAGTGATGTTTATGTCGAAATTCTCTTTTACAGTATGAACACTGGAAGGGCCTTTCTCCTTTGTGGATGCTTATATGACGTTTGAGAGATCCCTTGCGTGGAAATCTTTTATTGCACCAAGAACATTTAAACGGCTTTAATTCTGAAACATCACGTTGATGCACCATTTCATGATAAATTTGTAAGGTTGGTTTCTGTATTTGCGCAAATCTTGCAGTGTTGATATTTGGACCTTCTAAATGGTTAATAGATGAACSTATGTTTTTATCATAAATCGGGGTCGTAATCATATGATTAAGTTTACGACTTTTGTTGACATTATTTATACTACGAACCATTCTWCGTCTTTCCTTAAGATGTTTTACCACAGCAGATATAGCAGATTTTTTCTTCTTTTCTTGTTCTTCTGGTAACTCAACATCGTTTCGCAAGCCATTCTTTTGATCAAGCGTATCATCTGCCAGTTCCTTTGTAACTCTGTTTTCAAAACATGGCTTTGGATGAGGTGAAATCTCTGGGTTCTTGTATGAAACATGATTTGTATCAACGAACATGGAAGTGCAGCCATTATTACAAAAATTATCATCAGTTTGCGTACCRATACTAGAAAACTCTTTATAWRTAAGTGGCTGACCTAACATAACACTACCAACCGGTGATGAACTGTCGTACGTGGAATTTGAAGTCGGCCATTTGTGTTCCCCTGTCACCTTGTTGTAGATAAAAAGCGTGTCTCCCGATTTACATTTATATTCTATCCAGTCCGTATTCATCTTTGAAAACACTCTGAAGGCTTGTGACTATAGTTTATGTTATATTYCTCTCTGCAGTGTTTCTTGTCTGCTGTCGAATTATTCGTTCTGGAGTGAATGAAAACGTTTTGTTGTCTGATTGTTTCTTCTTGTAATATGCTAATTTTGGTAACCAATATGCAAATTGCATGTGTTATGTAATCCCATGAGAAGACCAGGAACACGCAACTATTAACAACTGATGCAACGAAACGGAACGTAATAATTTCACGTTTTCGTGTATGACTTTTCATAGAAAAAAAAACAAGAAATTAAAATTCACTTTATTTTATTTTCAATAAGGTTCAAATTAACAGGTGCGTACATAGGGTACGTTGACTAGAGGTTGGTTCACCTGTCAGACGAAGTCTTTGAGATATTAAACTTTATTTACCAAATCGACAGGACAACACAGATAGTCCAACACTTTTCTATAAGGTGAATCCAAAACAACACTCGCGCAATTTTGTAGTCAATCTCCTTCTACACAGCGRATGGGACCCCTGTGTACGCCCCTAAGTTTTGTCCGCCATTTTTTCATGCAAAGTTGTAAAAAGGTAAAGTTGACAAGAATATCGATAGTTTACCGCTAGTTCCCACCAAGCATAACAATGGCTGCTCGATTTATAAAAAGAACAGAAATTCTTGGATGTTCTAAATACCAACAGTGAGACATTTARGTGGAACACCCTAAATACGAAACGCGAAATGATCTTTCTACAGAAACAGTTAAAATGTTCTTTGTGCGAGAAACGATTTTCTCGCAAAGATTCTCTCAAACGTCATATGCTTATCCACAAAGGAGAAAAGTCCTTCCAGTGCTCGTATTGCAAATGAAGTTTCGACAAATGTATAACATGATAATACATGTAAAACGATGGCACGGTCTCTGTGAAAAAAGATTTTCCAGACGAGTTTCGAAGGGGCACCTTTGTGAAAAAGGTAAAGTTCCTTCTTTACTCAGGAAGTACACGATGCTATAAAGAAAATCATGAAATAAAGGATAGTTTGACACAAGAACTCAGAAAAACTGAGTAATGTTTTGAAAACTGGCTTTGCATGAATGTAAAAGTGTAGCTGCATCGTAGAAAAGGATGAAAAAGAAACAATCGAACAATACTCAGTCTAGCCACTCCAAGCTGGGTTTGGGGCCGGAAGTATTTGAATTATTTTTCCTTTTTGTTTATTTGTTTTTAAACTTTATTTGGACAATAAACTACAAATTTAGCCAATCAGAATTGAATCAAGATATTTAATCGATTTAAATTGATGTGAATGAAGATTGCCCTTCAGTATGTATCATATGATAAAAGTGTTATATAGACCATATAGTATATGATTACTGATATAGAGCAGATATCTCAGAAGCGAGAAAGCTTTTTCCATCTTTACTTCACGTCACAGCATCATATGAAAAACCTTRCTTTGTATGGAGTAGTTCGGTAACGCGACAAGCGAAACGTTTTCAAGCAAGTGAAATTAAGTGCACGGATTAATGGTTTCCTTCACGTTTCCCTGCGCCATCTTGAAAGGTAGCCATACCTTTACATCGAAGCGAGACAACCGTTGAGCGTGCAATGATAGATAGCTGTGAATAATT